TGCTCATTTTGCAGCATAATATTGTTTCAATACCAACAGGCAGACCAATCAATGTAAATTTTGCAATAACGACTCAGATTTCTAGGAATTGGGAGTTGCGTTCGACCGCTCAAGTTCAGGACACAGTTCTCAGCAAAGAAGACAATAGAAAATGGGAATCTTGTAAACGAGCTCTATCTGCCTTTGGTTTTCCGAACGAGGAAAATGAAAAAATTCTCGGCAAAGCATTTGGACAGATTCATTCTCCTTATTGGGGAGAAGAGAGGAAAAAAGAAGTCCCGGAATTCGAGGCGGTGAATGAAATTTTAAGTTATCTTAAGAATTTAGGCCTATCAGACGATGATATCGGTAAAATCATTAAGAAATTCCCCGAGGTTCTCGGGTGCAGCTTGGAAAGTGAAGTGAAAGAGAATGTGCGGATTTTGGAGAAAGAATGGGGCATTAAAGGGAACACACTAAGGAATCTTTTGCTTCGTAATCCTAAAGCTTTGGGTTATAACATCGATTGCAAGGGAGATTGTATGGCGCAATGCACTCGTTGCTGGGCCCGGTTTTAGTCGCTCGTGTATAGGTATTCTTGATCAAGTTATACTTAGTTTTGTTCTTTGATACTGTATGCTATACTTTGTACACTGTTACTCAGTACCTTTTGCAATTAAGAACAACATTATGTAAAAATGTTAGTTATCTATTTATTACAACAAAGGCATTGCTGATATGAAGGGGTTTGTTCTTTTTGATGATTTAGAAATTAGCTGTCTCTGATTAAGGGTGTTTTTTTTTGTTTCTTTACTAATAGAGGATGAAAGAGATAGAACAGACTATGATATATATATATGTTTGTTAATTTGCATATGTTTGGTTAGTCAAGCTAAAAGGCCAGCTCATGGCTGATAAATTCACTGATAGTTTCTGACTTAATTTCAAGCTGATAGCTTATGGATGATGACTGAAAATAGCTGATATAATAAAATTGTTTGGTGCAATTAACTAATAAATCAGTTGATACAAAATTCTCAATAGACAAGCCCATGAGATCAGCTTGAGATTTCTAAAAAAAATTATTTTACGAAACCAAATTTATTTGAATACAAAAAAACTTATAAGCTAACTAAATAAGCTTATAAGTTTGATTATGGTGCTTACCGAATATCTTCACTTGATCTTTGTCTATTTGTTGTTGGCTTGTCATTCATTGGCTATGATTGAAATAAAGGATCTCCAAGTTAAATACTTGCCATTTTAACTCAAATGATAAGACAAGTTTTTGCTCTGCAACTGAATGAAACTGAGAGATTCAATTTTTTATTCACCAGATAATAAAACAATAAATAGTAGCAATACAACACAGACGCCTAACTAGCCACTAGGCATCACCACTCATTTATTGACAAATCAATTTATTACCAGATTCTGATAGCCATGACTTTCAAAATCTACACAAGAATTATTTTTTTCTCTCACACACACATAGGAAGCAAACACCTGATCCACTCAGAGCATTCAACTCCATGACTGTTTCTGAAGAAAACAGACAAAAGATCATATGTATTCATTCAAGGGCATTTGGGTCTATTCCCATGTGTTCTTAAGCTTGCGTAGCAAGGGCAAAGCTCTTTATTTCCGTAAGTCCCAGGAGGAACACAGTTGCACCTTCTGCAACACGTGTTGCACGCTCGGTGGCAGATTTTCTTTCTGGAAGCCTTGCTGCATCTTCTTGTGCATGCTTGCCTGCAATCTGTTGGGTTCGGTTTTTTATTTTTTTTAGGGAGGAAAAATAAGAAAATTTAATAATATATGAAGAAAGAAAGTATAAAATATTTTAGTTACTGATTCTGCGAGGGTGGTGTTTCTTGAGCAGGGCTCCAAAGTTCACGCCCTCATCCTCCTGATGCGAAATGTTCGTTAGATGCGAATAAAGTTTAGTTTTATTCAACAAAAGGAAAAAAAAAAAAGGGAATTGAGATAAAACAACCTGAGAAAGAGAATATGAAGTAATATCATCACTGGCTGATGATACCTCTGCCACCACAAAAATCTGAAAAATGTGGAAAAGGTGCATGAATATAATACGAATTGTCATTAAAAACTTGAACATGTGTATATCTTTTAACATATATCAATGTTAAGAGACCTGAATGAAGAGAATGGCTATCAGCAGCATTAGCAGGAGCTTCATCTTTCAGATTTTATTTTTGTTCTTGTTACGAAAATATACTAACAAATGATCAATTATTATTATTATTNCAAACTTGGATTTCTTGGCTGAGGCTGATGCTATAGCTAGCTGAGTATTTATAGAAAAATCGAACAAGCTGCTTTTTCTTTTTTCTTCGCACTTTTTAGAGGGATCACATGCGACGATCGATCGGGTAAGGAAAAAAATTTCACAGACTAAGTGTGTTGCTGAAAAGATTTAGTTAGTAAATGCTTCTCAACTTGTGTCTTTTGCAACTTTTTGTCATCTGTGTGCTATAGCTATGTAATAAGCTTTTGACATTGTGTGTGATGAACAGCTGTTTGATTCCTCTGGCTTTATGTGCATGCATGGACAAAGACTTGTAGCATGTGTATGGTCCCCATTTTATTTTATTGTGGTTAAATTTATATAAATATTACAGAGAGATCAATTGATAAATAGAAATTTCAGATACACAGAAATTTTTGTGTTGGTATTTATATATTTGTTCATTACAATTTCATCTATAAAAGCAAAAGGAAGGGGCTGATTTCAGAATAACAGACAAAATATGTGTATGTGTACTTTCAAAATGCAAATGAATAACAAACTTACAAGTTACTATGTCATCAAGGCTATTGTTAGACAAACCATTAGACAATTTTTGAATAGGTATGTGTACTTTCAAAATGAAAATGGATATAAATAAAAGTATAACATTTCATAAGTATGAATTTTGTTAAAAAATAATGATCAGACTGCCTATTAGCCTTATATATAAAAAGTTGTGCTTCAGTATATTCATTTTCTTTAACAGTTATCCTACTCGATGTTTTTCTTTTCTTTTTCACCCCTCTTTTTTCTAAATTCCATCTCCAACTTTTGTCCACTTTTTGCAAGAATCCCAAAGTAAATTATGAATTGATATATTCATTATTCACTACAAACTATAGACAAGTTACTAACCCTACATAACTAAGAACCCTTCTTTATAATGGTGATAGGATGCTGATAAGGAGGAATATCAAAATATTTTAAAAGAATTAAGAGGTAAAAAGATAAAAATTTATACCAAGAAAGTACAACTCTCGTCCTTACAGAGTGATCAATATCACTTTAGCTGCAAGCTATGGTAACACATATAAAAACTTACAATAATTGCCAATTCTTGGTCTTTCAGGTCAATTTTTCTTTTATTAGTATACCATAATTCTTGGTCTTTCAGGTCATTTTTTCTTTTATTAATATACTATTATGAGCATTAATTATAACTCATTTTTTTGGCATCAGTCATACCATAATGACAAGTGGGTAAGTAACCCATTGCCCAATTTTGTGAAAGTCATCCCTTTTTCATGTCCTACTTTAAATCAAACACCTAACTATTTGTTTTCATCTTTTCTCTCTCTTTTGCCGGCGGTGGGCCGGTGGCGGTGAAGTAAAGGAACGAGGCCCGTTTGTATTCTGATTGGACTATAAAGCCCACTTACGGAGCGAGTGGGCCTGTACCCTATTTATGTGAAATTTGTAAGAGTCGGTTCTATCATAACTAGTACGTAACATGTGCGATGCACGGACTGTATTTATTTTGGAGAATATTAAAAATTGAAATGTATCAATAAATAAAATGATGACTCGTAAGGAAATTGTCAAATAATAAAATGTTTCTCATGAAAAAATATATATTTAAAAACTTTCTTGTACACAACATTATTTGTTTAATAACTGAGCAACTCGTCGTCCCCACAAACTAATATTTTCAACACTTTTCTAGTACTTTCACGCGAAACAAACAACATAATTGTCCATGCTAAAAATAGATTTCTTTAATAACATGTCAACATATAGTAAAGGCTGACCTAAACTCTTCTTTATCTATCACTTACACGCGTAACAAAAACATATAATTGGCCGTGATCAAAAACTGATTTTTTAAGAACATGCCAATGCACAGCTCTTATCTATTACTTACACGTAAAACAACAACATATAATTGGTCGTGGCTAAGAACCGATTTCTTTAGTAATATGCCAACGCACATAAAGATTTTGTATAACAATTTTATATTTTGTGTATATGAAAACAAAAAATCGATTTACTATACAAAATTTTGAAAGCAAATAAATGATAAACATTATCTTTTAAAATACATAATGACAATGATTATATCATTGTATTATCAAAACCGATAAAATATATAAATTATATATGTTTTCCTTTTCAAACCGATAATGTAGAAAGCAATTCAATTGGTGAATAGATGATATATACAAACCATGATTTTAGAAATCTTTTCAAAATTTTCTTTGCATGAATTGGATGCATAAATCATTCAACATATTATTATATGGGTAAAGTCCACTTTTGGTCCTCCATGTTTAGGGGGTATTCAGACTGAGTCCCTATTATGTTTTGGTGCCCAATTTTAGTCCTTAAAACAAAAAAATGAGTCCCTATTATGTTTTGGTGCCCAATTTTAGTCCATAAAACAAAAAAATGTAGTCCCTTTACCTCAATTTCTGTGAATTAACGGTCCATTTTTGCTCGACTGTGATGTTCTTTATTTTTGTTAAAATTTGTTGATTAATGTCAACTTTGACCAAAGAAAAATAAAAGAAAATTTAAATGCTGAAAATATATTAATAAAAAATTAAACTAAAACAAGAAATTGCACTAAATTAAATTAAAATTTTTGCTCGTCTGATTTCTATTTCCCTAGCATTCGCGCTGCGGAGCAAGCCTGGAATCACAGCTAATGCTCTTGCATCCATTTCCGGGTCATGCCATCGAAAAGAATTGCACCTATCAACCCTCTGTTTTGTAACCATTTATTATCATATTCCAATTGAAGTTCACGGAAAGTACTTACAGGATATAGAGGGCAACTCAAGAATCTTCTTCCGAGATTATCATCCTTCCAGCATGTAGTCAACTTTGCAACCAGCTCACATCTACAAAATACCACACCATTTTCATCCATTTGATCGGATTTAGTCCCTAGGCGGTTAGGGTTTTTTTTTTACGTTTCACTGCAGTTCACTATTTCTGTCTTTTATTTTACTTTTTCAGCATTTAAATTTTCTTTCATTTTTCTTTGGTCAAAGTTGACATTAGTCAACAAATTTTACAAAAATAAAGAACATAACGGTCGAGCAAAAATGGACCGTTAATTCAAATAAATTGAGGTAAAGGGACTACATTTTTCTTTAAGGACTAAAATTGGGCATCAAAACATAATAGGAATTAAGTCTGGATACCCCTAAACATGGAGGACTAAAAGTGGATTTTTTCCAATTATAGGGACTACATTTTTTTGTTTTAAGGACTAAAATTGGGCACCAAAACATAATAGGGACTCAGTCTGGATACCCCCTAAACATGGAGGACCAAAAGTGGACCTTCCCCTTATTATATTATTAAATTATTGGAAACGTGTATACACCCGGTATTCGATTCTGTTTGGCAGGTAAATCGCGTCCCAATTTTTTGGAAAGATTGTTCCTACACGCATGGAAATCGGATCCAATTACTTTGAAAATTTAATATTCATAAAATATCGCATGCACAAACAATATACTATCCGATTTTATTAGTTACCAAATTGAATGAGCGGGATATGCAAAACATTTCAAAAAAAATTACCGAAAAATAGTAAAGAACGAAAAACAGAAGCGGGAAAATGATATTAAAAAGCGAGAAACTGTATTAATTTTTTTAAAGTTTTTCAAATATTTTTTCTTCTTCGTATTATATAATAATAGATCCGAATACGCCCGCACAAAGTTTATCACCATTGAATTACATGCGCGCTATGTGAATATGTATTCATCGACCGATAATAAATATAGTATGGGCAAGCCTAAAGAAATTTTCTGATAAAAGAGGGTAAAATAAATAAAAACGTTAAAAAGTGAAAATGAAATGTGATACATTTAGAATAACCTAAATTACTATATAATATGTACGAAGAAATATGGCATTCACTATTCAATTATATGAAAATTGTTTACTTCATCATCACGAACACATTAACATACTTGTCATCACGTTAGTAATAGACATATTAAATCCGTATTTATAACATACATGAAAGTAGGAGTCTACAATAGAAAATACTCCTAAGTTCATAGTGTAGTTGCGATCAGCAGGAGTTGCTTTTTAATCGTAAAATACCGGCTTAAATCTATATTTATATGTATATAAAGAGGTTGATGGAAAATTCATTTGTGGAAAGTTTGACCACAAATATATATTTTTTGACTTATTATTAATGAAAATTTCGAAAAAATACATGTGAATCATTAGTAACAAAATCTGAATTCCATTATTTTTGTAACAAATTTAGAGATTCTTGTGGTAAAATTTGAATCCCATTTTTTTCGTATCATTTTTTGTACCAAAATATGAATCCCAATTTTTTAGTAACAAAATTGGAGATTCTTATACAAAAATTGCGTCAGTTATTTATGAAAACAATTCCAAATACAAATTAGTTTAAAAACCGTGCAAATTGGATACAAATTTAGGAAACAAATAATTGTAATACTTAACAAATTTTTTCAATCTTTTTGAATAATTTTATCTTTAAAAAAATGTGTGCAAATTGGATAAAACCACGTGCGATTTTTATTTTATAACAAAATTGAGATTTGGACGAGATATACATTCAAAATCGTATTCACATTTTTTGGTAACAAAATTGGTTCATCTTTGATATTTAAAGTAAAACTTTATCCAATTATTTAAAAAAAAAATCAATAATTTCAAAACCGTGTGCAACTTTTACATGAAAAAATGGTGTGCAATTTTTCAAAATTGGAATGCACCATTTTTTTTATATATATTCTTATGTTTTTTCTTAACCATGTTTTACCGAGTTTTTGGTAAGTTCATTTTTTTTTTTTTGTGAAGTTCATATCAATTTTTTTAAGAAAGAAACAGTTGCGTAAATGTTAACAAACTATTCTCATATTTTATTACATTAGTTTCAATTCAATTTGTTTGGTAAAAAATCGGTGCTATGTAAGAAAGTTCAATTGCATTTTTAAGAAAAAATGATGATTCTTT